GCCGGGTGCGCAGACTCCGTGGTGGCTCCGGGGAGCTGGGCGGGCTGGGCACCTGCGTGTTTACCCAGGACGGACTGCGCGGATGCAGCCCACGCCGGCCCCCCACACCCACAAGCCCGCGTTCACCAGCTCCGGAGGGAAGGTGACCAGAGCTGCCAGGGCCTTTGCAGGCGCCCTGCAGAGCCATGGGGAACCAGGAGCCAAGTGGTTACGAGCCGCAGGTGGAACTTGGGCAGCACTGGAACAGGCCCATTACTTCATCTTTGTAAGTCTCCCTTTCCTCATCTGTAAAAAGGGCCCAATAATGGTACGTATCTTATGGGGCTGTCCTAAGGAATTAGTTATGCACATAAAGAGCTTAAAGTAAGGTGGACACCTGGTAGCTGTTCCATAAATGAGAACTTTTGTCCTATTAGTACTGACTGTCACCCGCCACTGCCCCAGGCACTAGCCCACACCCTGACCCTGGGGTGGAGACAGGCACCAGTTGTGACTAATCATGACCAGGCCCCCCCCACCCAGGGCCCGCAGGGACCCAGCCGGCCACTCAGTTGAGACTAATGAAGTGGTCGTGGAACGGGAGGCCTTTTGCTCCCACCCCAGCTGACAGACTCCTGCCTGAGGTTGGATAAAGCGCTGTGTGTGCCCCCCCGCCCCCAGTTTATCCCTGGCAAGGTCATTTTTCTACATCTGTGCTACCCACGCCACTGGCTCCCCCTCCTTCGTCCTCCCTGCCCTTCCCCTGGGCCTTGCCAACCCTGCCACCTGTTCATGAAGACAGCCATCCTTGGAGGGTGGCTTGGGATGTGAGGAGATGAAAGTAGGGGAGCCAGCCACCCTCCCATCCTCTGGACGGGAGTGGCTCATGCTTTCGACATTTATTTATTGTACCCGTCTATGCACTCGGCACTATTTGGAGTGCCGGGGGGAGTCCCTGGGGGATGTTTGGAGAGGGGAGTCAGGAAGGTCTCCTAGGAGCATGCACAGGGGCCGCCATGCGAAAGCGCGGGGAAGGGCATTCCAGGCAGAGAGAACAGCGTGGTCAAAGGCCAGAGGTTCAAGGAACCAAAAGGAGTTGAGGGTGGACCCAGGAGAGAGAGAAGGGGGCTGGCGAGCAGTGGGGAGGCAGGCAGGGCACGGACTGGGTTCATTCTGAGCTGGTGGGAGGCAGAGGGTGCCTGAGTGGTTGAGAAAAGCCAGGTCAGGCAGCAAAGGGACCCCAGGACCCAGGAGTGCTGCTCCCAGCGACCCCGGCCCCTCCGCCCCGCCCTCCCTGACCTCTGAGCCCCGGGCTCAGGGAGGCCCATGGCCCACTCCTGGGAGCAGCTGGCCCCCTGCACCCTGGCGAGCCCCTGAGGGGGCAGCTCTCACCAGGGATTGGGGTCCCTGCTCCCTCAGAGCCCTCCCAACAAGGCGGCTTTGTCTGGCAGCTCCGAGGACCCCCTGCGGCAGCCTGTGCGAGCTCTGAAAGGAGGCTTTATCTGTGTCCCGGGCCAGCTTGCTGGGAAGCGAGTGGCCGGGGCGGGCACACGGGGCCAGGCAGCAGCCACAGCCGTGACTCCAGGGCTGCAGACACGGAGAGAGGCCCAGACACAAAGGTGCCCTGGGGGAGCAGCGGGCAAAGCCCCGCCCCAGAGGAAGACAAGAGGACTACACAGGCGCCCGGCACCCCTCCCCACCCCTGCAATCTGGTCACTCAATCGCGCTGGCCGGTGACACGGCCCTTTGTGCAGCCACTGCCCTGTGGAAGACGGAGACAGGTGAGGCCGGGGCTGCCTGTAACTGATCTCCCAGGGCCGGCTCTCCGCTCCCTTGCTCTGGTCCTGGGAGGTCCTGGGAGACTAGGGAGGATTTGTCGGGGACGGCACTTTTCCAAGTGCAAAGGAGCTTCAGGACAGGTCTATGCCCAAAGCCGTCGCTGGGCAGACTGGAGAGCGCGAGAAGCAGAAGAGGACACGTCAGGGAAGCCGACGTTCACTGAGCCCCTGTTCCTGGGTGCATGGGGTGCCCGCCAGCGGGTTTCTGCCGCCCGCTCAGCTCTGGTTACCATGATGTCCTCACCGTGCTTCTGCGGGGATTATCTCTAATGTCCACGCCAACCCTCTGTGGCACAGAGCGCAGCCTCATTTTATGGGTGTAAATGTAGAGGCCCAGAGAGGCTAAATCACCTGCCCAAAGCCACCCAGCTTGCAAGAGGCAAAGCCAGGATTCAAACTCAGGAATGTCTGGGGCCAGAGCCCAGGCCCTACACGCCATGCCTCCCGGCTCGGCTGGGTCCACCTGTCAGCCAACAGCTGATGTGTCCAAAAGCTGTGTGTCAGCTCTGTCCTGGCTTTGGGCATCCCGGATGTAAGAACTGGGAGGGACACCAGTCACCTGCCACCTGCATGGGACCAACTCACCATCCAACCTACTTACCAGTTTTCCTTCAAGCGACTCGGTTCCTTGTCTGTTAAAAAGTGAGTTTATTAACATCACTGAACTTAAAGATGGTTAACATGCTAAATTTTGTTATGCATATTTTAACACAATTAAATATTTTTTTAAATGTTCAAACATAAAAGAAAAAAGTGAATCGAGCCAATATTGAAGAAGCACAAAACAAACTGACACCAGCCCAAGTGTCTGCGGCGCAGCAAGGAGCAGAAGAGAATGACAAGGAGCACATGCTCACCGCAAGGGAGCAACGCGAATCCTGAATCAGATGTCAGGCCTCCAGGTGTGCCTGCTGCACTGGGAAAGCCATCATTGTACAAATGGGGAGACTGAGGCCCAGAGATAAGGGCACACCCTGGACACCGGAGCCAGTCACAGCAAAGCCCAGGCTGAACCTGCCGCCTCCGCACGCGCCTCACCCAGGGGGACCGAAGCTCAGAGAGAAGCCACTCGCTCACATCCACACAGCAAGTCGAGGGCACAGAGAGGATTTGAACCCAGATCTGTCGGACTCCAGGGCCTGTGGGTAAATGCCTGGGAAGATGGTGTGGGCCGGGGGGCCGTCGCCACCACACCAGCCCCTCGGTTGGCCCCACACCAAAGCCAGTGTGAGCTTTCTGGAACACAATTGCGTCATGTCATCCGCCTCCCTCGCCCTGAGCTGAAGCCCTCCTGTGGCTCCTTAAGGTGTGAAGCTGTCACCGGCCACCTCTGGACCTCACTCCTACCTGTCCGGACCCCCCTGGATTTCAGCCTCCAGTTAGACCCATTGGCAGTGCCTCAAAAGCTCTGCCACCTGGGCTAGGTCTGAGCCCAGCCTTCCCCACTGTCATAGTCTGCTCCAGCAAGGACAGAACATGGAGAGTGGTGCAAACTGTAAAGTGCTGTGCCTACCTTACACATTGACGAAGGAGAGCAGATCAAGTCCAGCCGAGCTGTGCTGGCAGATGCCGGGCATCTAGCCACCTAGGCATGCGCTCTCACTTCCCTGGCATCCCACCTCCTCCTGTCCTCACTGTCCCCACTGTCCCCAGGGGAGGCAGATCCACCCTCAGATTTACTAGGGCATGTTAAGAACGCGGTTTGAAGCCATCTCTGAGGCCACGAGGTCATGGCAGTTTCCCATCGATCTATTTGTCCCTCCCTTAGCTGGAGCCCTTTGCCCCGCCGGCCCCCAGAGCCGTATCAAACTTCAGCCGCTTCTCCCCAGCCCCAAAGGGCCGAAACACAGGGCAGGTCTTTAAAACACAGCCACCGGGCGATTTACCAGCTGGGCTGCCGAACCCTGACCTCCAGAGGAGATGTAATGCACCTCCCTGGTTTAGCTGGATCGATGTGCCGTGAAAAACAGCCCCATGTGGGCCAGTTAGGACAGGAGCGGAGGCGCCCCCTCCACCAGAAATCCCACCCTGACAGCCACCGAGCCAGCGTCCGTGGCTCACACGCCTCAGGGCATCTTCAGGCTTGTCCTCTGTTCCACCGAAAAGTCTCAGGCATGAGCCTGCGAGTGTGGGCACCACTGAGTCCACCCTCTAGGACTCAGATGGAGAAACTGAAGCTGAGTGGGCTCCCCAAGGTCACAGAGCAAGCCGAAGAAGGTCTCCAGCGCCCTGAGGGGAACTCGCCCACTCAGTGCCTCTGCTTTCTCCTGTGCGCCAAAGTGGCAGGGGCCAGGTTTATAGAGCTGTCATGGTGTTTGGGGTAGCATAGGTCCCTTGGAAAGTCAAGCTTGTCTGTCCTATAGCCTTTCCCAATATGCCACCAGGGTGGAGCTTCCTGCCTTTGACGCCACGTGGAGCAGAAACCAGACCTTCAAGACAGTGTCCTGGCTCAGTCACTACATTGTCCCAAGGGCAGAGGCCAGAGGCACCAAGCCACCCTGCGCTCGGGTCCCCTTGCTCCCCAGAAAGAACAGCAACCTATACTTCGGGAGGAAGGTTAAGAAGCGTGGGAGGGCCCTGGGTCCAAATTTTCCTTGGTCCTCATGTGACCCCTACCCCCAGCCTGAGCCGGCAGGAAAGCAGGGGGTTCCATAGCCGCCCTACTCCAAGCATGTCCATGGACCACAGGGTTGCCTGGGAGCCTACTTTCTCGTAGGCGGAACATAGGCGCTGTCTGCCAGCCATGCTGATCTGGAGGAAAAGTCTGCATTTGACAAGATCCCAGCTCATTCATATGCAGGGCAAGGTTTGAAAAGTGAGGATGTGCAGGATTTGCTGGAGTTAAATGAGGAGAGGGGTGTGTGTGTGTGTGTGTGTGTGTGTGTGTGTGTATGTGTATGTGTGTGCGCACACACTTACCTAAAGAGAGCTTGAGGAAGGAAGGGAGGAAGGGAGGGGAAGGGAAAGGAAAGGAAGGAAGGAAACCCTGCTTGTGTCCAAAAAATATTTGAAGTAACTTCAGAACAGGACATGGCAACCCCTTTAAAGAAAACAAACAAAATCGATCCCAGCTGAAAGAACAGAGGGTGGTTCCAGGCACCAGCGTGGGGCGGGCTTCTCACAGAGGCCACGTTAGCTCCAAGTAGCCCAGTGGTGCATCTGCCAGGGCTGGAAGCTCCCAGCTCGCCTGGACCACATTGTCCTGGAACTGGCCTGGGGCTCTGAGCCACTGCCTTTGTCTCCCCCTCAGGACAGCTGCTTGCTCCTCCATTAGGGGTAGTGGGGATGAGGGAGGGGGCTGCCATCCCTGGGGCTTACTTGGAAGCTTCCCTGAGTCACTCTGGCCTGAGTTCGAGTTCTGGTTCTATATCTTTCTTGCAGTGTACTTCCGGGCGAATCCTGTAACTTTTCAGAATCTCAGTTTTCTCATCTGTAAATTGGGAGCATGTTACTACCTTACAGAGTGGTCGAGTCTTCAGCGAGGTAGCACCTGTGATGTGCTTGGCATGGACGACGGGCTCGAGATACCCCTGCTGCTCCTGGTGAGTTACGGAGGGGCTGGCCCTCCCACCTGCCTGCCCTGCTCTGGAGCCATCAGCCGGACAGGGGCACAGATACCTTCTGTGACTTCCACCAAAAGCCACCCCTGGCATTAGGCTTTGGTATATGCAAGGGACCACAGAGGATTGAGAAGGAGAGGTTCATGTCACATAACCCAGGGAACTTCAGATTGAGTTAGGACACCCCGGGTTCCCTGGGCGCCCTGCCAGGTGGCTGGATGGGTCAGAGCCCCTCTCCGCCCTGCTCCCCTGCCGCCTGCCCTGCCCTGCCCCACGCCTGCTCGTCTCCGTGCAGAGCGGCCCAGAGAGCTTCTTGCTTGTTCAGCCCCTGCCAACCCAAGCCTCAAAGCCTCCCTTCCCTTCCCCAGCGATTCTGGGATGGCAGCTTGAAGGTCATCATTTTCCCACGCCTTCTATACTGGCACGAGGATTAAATGCTCACTGTGGCACCAGCACCGTGCCCGACACGTGCTATTCAGCACTCAGTCCTTCACCGCACGGCATTTATTGACATCGAGGATGTGCCATGCGCTGAGCTAACGCTGAGGACAGAGCAGTGAGCAAAATGGGGGACCTCGGTCCCCTGGAACTGGGGACCTAGAGCCACACTGTCCAGCACAGTAGCCACCGGCTCATGTGGCCCTTGAGCACTGAAACGTGGTCAGTCCCAATTGAGATGTGTATAAATGTTAAAAACACAGTGGATTTCAAAGACTTAGTGCCAACAAAAGAATGTAAAATAATTTTAAAAATATTGATTACATGTTGACATGATCACACTATGGATATATGGCATGAAACAAGATATATAAATACCTTAAGGTCACCTATTTCTTTTATATTTTTTAATGTGGCTATTAGAAAATATAAAATTATATCCCAGGCTCACATTCTATTTCTATTTCTATTGTACAGTGCTGTTCTAGAGGGTGAGATAGAAAACAAACTAATAAGCAGTGGGAATAGTTACAAGCAAACCAGAAGACAGGAAGGTGACATATCAGGAAAAGCCCGGGAAGGAGACCAGCAGGAGGAAGTATGGGCTGGAGGCGAGGGAAGAGGGCTCTTCAGATGGGGACATATGAGCTGGACGTATGGCCAAGAAGATGCCAGCTTGGGGAGAGCTGGATAAAGAGCATTCCTGGCAGGAAATGGCAAGTGCAAAGGCCCTGAGGTGGAGTGGAGCTTGGACAGTTGGAGGAGGTAGAAGGAGGCTGGGGAGGCCGGGCCAGGTGAGGCCCCAGATGAGCCTGGTGGGTTGGGCAGGACCCCAGTCATGCAGGGTCTTCAGCCACTGGGGAATTTTGGACAGGGGCTGACATGTTCCCATTTATATTTTGGGAAGATGATCATTTGAAAGGAGCTGCCAGAGTGAAGATTTTATATAAGCAATGACCGATAGTGGGGAAGGGGAGTGGGGTGTCTGACACTCGGAGGGAGGCCTTGGTGGTCCTGAGTGTCTGGATGGATAAGGGAAGGCGGAGGGTTGGGGGGGTCTGGGATAGAAAGCCGGTGCAGGCGATGCATGGTGGTCACTAAGTTTTCTTAAATTTAGGTGTGAGTTCCATACAGTCACTGCAGGAGTCTCAAGTGTATAGCGGGACTATTGCATCGTGTAGCCACCACCCGAATCTGGCCAGAGCATTTCCAGCATTCCAGAAGCCCTGTATGCCCCTCCCAGTCACTGGCACTGCCTGCGTAGCAGCTACTTACTGCTGCATAACAAATTACCACAACGTTAGCAGCTTTTGTATTATCTCACAGTTTCACGAGTCCTCTGCTCAGGGCTCAGCAGCTGCAATCAAGGTGTCAGCCGAGGTGCATGCATTCCTGGAGCCCGGGTCGTCTTCCCGGCCCCTCAGCTGCTGGCGGAATTCAGTTCCTTGCAGTGTAGGACTGAAGTCCTGTTTTCTCCCAGGCTGCCAGCCCATGGCCCTGTGACCGTGTGGGGCTCTCAGGCAGTCCCCAGGATCGCAGCCTGCTTCTGCGAGCCAGCACGTCTCTGTCTTGCGGCCCACCCTTTCAGGTAACTCAAAATCAACTGCTCTGGGATCTTAATTATATCTGCAGAACTCCAGCTTGGTCATATTGCATAGGCGAGAAGCGAATTCCTGGTCCCATCCATCGATGACGAGGGGATGACACAGGTGTAAACCCCCAGGGTTAGAAATCAGTGGGGGTCACTTTAACATCTGTCTGCCACAAATGGTAATGGTTGTTCCGACCTCTATCGTCAATTAGAAATTAATCAACGTATCGGCTTATTAGTTTGAATGGACTTGTTAACTCATCAGTCAGCTGGGCCAGGTTCCTCTCACCCAGCCTGTGTCCGTGGGATCTATCTGCGTTGCCGCCCGCGTCGGTCCCTTGCTCCTTTTCGCTGCTGCGACGTACTTCACTGTAGGGACACGCCACACTTCACCCTCCCTCTGCAGAGTTGTCCCAGGTTCTGGCTATTAAAACAGAGCTGCAGGTGGGATTCTGCATGGGATTCCAGAACAATCCAAAGACATTAATGGAAACACTGGTGATATCAGATTAAAATCTACAGTTTAATTAGCAACATTGCACCCACGTTAATTTCTCAGTTCTGCCAATGGGCCATGGTTACGGAAGACGTTAACTGTAGGAGAAACCGGGTGATGGGTATACAGGAGCTCTCCGTACTATTTTTGCAACTTTTCGTAAATTTAAAATTATTCCAAAATAAACATTTTATTAAAAAATAAATACATAAAGCTGCTAGCAAACACCCGCCATGGGCCACGGTGGCGTAACGGGTGCACAGCTAGCCCTCCTTACTCACGCATCCGCTGACCGGGACGCAGCCTGTGAGGCCGCCGTTCTTGCGCAGTGGCCAGCAGGCAGCACGAGACCATGATCCCAGAAGAAGGGAAACCCGTGAGGTGAGCTCCACGGTCACCAGCTCTCAGCTTGGGGCCAATCTCCCAGCCACAGACCAGAAAGTGGGGGCCCAAGCAGAACACCATCTGCCCTCTGGGCTGGGGAGGCCGAGGCCAGGACGTGGAGCTGCCGAAGCGGCCGGGACCTGCAGGGCGGGAGAGGAGGCCTCCCCAGAACCTCCTCACTGCCCCGCGCAGGGCGGGTTTCTGAGCAAGTCTTCGACCGCAGTCTGGGCTGCACACGCTCAGGACAAGACCATCTGAGGCTTTCCAGAGAGCTGCTGCCGTGGGTGGGGCGTGGAACGGAGATCCCGGAGGACACGCTGGGGGAGAAGAGGAGGGACGGCAGAGAAGAGGGCGTGGCAGACCACTCAGGGCCTGGTGGGCAGAGAGGAGGCCTTGGCTTTTGCTGAGTGAGACGACAGGTACCAGGGGGTTGGGGCCTGCTAGCTGCTGATGGAGAAGGGCCAAGTAGGGGTCACCGGCCAGGACGGACGCAGGAGCCCATCAGGAGATCCACAGTGGGGCTTGGGCAGGCCAGTGTGGGAGCCGGTGGACGGGATATGGGGTGGGAGGAAGGCAGAGGCCGTGGGGGCTCCAAGGTTCTGGGCCTCTCGACTTCTGAGACACTGACTTTGTCTCGCAGCAAGTACACCTCACTGCGATAATGAGGAAAAGCCATGCAGACGTGTCTTTACGCAAGGGGAGAGAGCGCCCTGCTTGCTGAGAGCGATGCTGGGGAGTGGGGAGCCCCGGTCTCCCCAGGTCCCCCTCCAGGTGATCTACCCCCTCCCCCACCACACGTGGGGCCACCTGCTCATTCTCGCTCTTTCTTCCCTCAGTGTGTGTCCTTCCGTCCCCCAGCCCCAACCAGAGGAGAGGGCAGCCAGCAGAGGGGCCGCGAGGGAGGAGGAGAGCCGGCAAGAAGGTCAATGACATCCTTGCTTTTGGTAAGAAAAGCGTCTTTATCCCCTGTCAACCGGGTTCTCTCTGGAGCCCAGACAGGGTTCTGCTCCACGACGGGTCCCTCCCCCACGAGAACTGCCCCTGAGGCTGCAGTGTTCCTGGTCCTGCCTTGGAGAACAGGGACCCTCCTGGGTCTCACACTTGTGTCCAGCCCCACGTGGCCTTCCCAGAACCTCCTCACTGCCCTGAGCAGCCCGGACTCCTCCTCTCCCTCCCACTCCCCAGGAATCAGCCTCTTTCAGGGCTCAGTGTCCCCAGCACCCCTCGTCCCCACCCTAGCACCCCCACCCACAGGGCCTCTTCCTCCAGGGGCCTGCAGACCCCTGAGTAGCCTGTATGCCTGCTGTGTGGCTGCCCTAGAGCACGCGTCACGGCTACGATTAACAGTAACACCTGGGATGTTTCATCGTCACCTGTGCCCCACTAGGCTGGGCGCTTCTTGTTCGCCCAGTGCCCCAGCCCCTAGCAGGATGCCTGGCCCGTAACTGATGCTCAAAAGATGCTTATCAAGTCAGATGATGTAGAAACCCTGTAGAAATCTGAGCAAGTGGAACACGGGAGCGGGCATGTACCATGGGCTCTGAAAGTGGATAAATTCCAAGAAGCAGAGATGGAGCGACAGGGGTTTCTGGGAGCTGGCACCCCACGGACGAGCAGGAGGCCGCAAAGGGCGCGTCAGCCCCAGAGCCTTGGACCAGGCGCGCAGCAAAACAAAATATTTTTAACGTTTTTTTCCTTAAAAAAGTAATTATGAAATGAATGACTATTTGGATGGATGGATGGACGGATGGACAGCAGATCAAAGCAAATCCCCTCCTCTTAAGGAAGCACAAACTGAGGCCTGCGTTGAACTGAGGCCAAAGCAAAGCCACTCTCCCTCCAGCCTCCCCGCTGTCCACCCTCGGGTGACCACTGCCTGTCTGCCACTCTGCCAGTCTCCTCCTGCCTCCGGACCCTTCCCGCAGCCTCCCTGCCCACTGCCCCCTCCACAGGTGGCGACTGTCTTGCTCACGACTTTTTACCAAACCCCGAGCATGAGCACGAAGGTGCCCAGGAGACGGGCCCTTTGTCCAAGCTCAGCCCGAGGGTGTGGTCGGTGGGGATCCCTCCTCCCTGCTCCCACCCGGGTCTCTCTCTCTCTCCTCTCTCTCTCTCCTCTCTCTCTGACTTTTGTCCTTGGGTCGTACCAGAAGAGGTTTCGTTCTCCGGCAACTGGGCAGCCATTAGGGAGAGGCGGACCCGCGACCCTCTCGCTGCACAATGGCGGGCTACTTCAGTCATTCTGCTTCACCTGAAGACTCATTTGCAGCGGAGCCACCCCTTGAGAGCAGGGCGGGCCCCATCTGTCGGGCACTTTGCTCCGATGTCTCTGGCCATTGTGCCGGCACTCGAGGCCTGTGTGTGCACAGGAGGGCAAGGGAGCGGGAGACAGCGCATCCGCCTCCCCCGCCACCGTCTCTTTATCATTCTCCCAGGGCCGAACAGAACTTGCCTAAAAGAGTGATGTCAGACGTGTGCAGAACAGACCATAAAACCTAATGCGCTCGCTCCCTTTGTCTGCTCGATTCTCCTATGAACGGCTCCCACTCGGAGAGCCACTCGAAACACATCAGCAGTAACTCCACAAAACAGCCACTTGTTGGCTAATTGTGCTAAGCAGCTGCCAGCTGGGCTGGGGGCAGGGTGGGGAGGTGACCTGGGAGCCCCTCTGCTCCCCCAGCCAGCCCAGCTCCTGGGAAGGGGGCCTTGCCCAGAGGGGGCATCGCCTCCTGCCCCCAGCCTCGGCACCTCGAGGCTGCGCTTACCGGGTAGGGGCCTGGGGGCCCAGGGACAGGAGGGCAGGGTTCTTTCCCTGTTCTGCCCCAACCTACTGTGGGACCCTAGGGAGTGACTGCCCATCTCTGGGCCTCAGTTTCCCCACCTATACCATAAGTGGGTTGGATCGTGGCTTCTAAGGACTCTTCCGGCTCCCAGAGTTTGCCTGGTTCTGTGCACCGGGAGCGTTGGACAATCCGGGTTCAGATCCTGGCTCTGTTGTGGACTGACCATTTGACCTGCAGCCGCGGGCTCTCTGAGCATGTTTCTGCCTCAGGAAAACTGGATAATGGCAGTGCCTGCCCTGGTCTGGAGCCGTGAGAATCCACTGAGGTGGTGCCAGAGGGATCGAGGGGCCAGCGAGCACAGGCTCGCCCTGCCGCCAGGAGCTCACAGTCTGACAGATGGACAGAGGACACTGGGCCTGTCACAGGACACCGTGACGCAGTCTTGGAAGCTAGCGTGGGTTAAGCTGAGACCTAAAGGGTAAGAACCTAGCCACCCAGGGCGCAGACAGGGGCAGGGATGGCATGCACAAAGACCCTGAGGCAGGGCTGAACTGGAGGCCAGAAAGGAGGCCAGTGGGACTGCAGCCCGGAGGGAAGGGCTGGCTGAGTAGCAAGGCCAAGTCAGAAGACCCCTGCAGGCCACGGTGAGGAGTGTGGCTTTATCCTGAGGGCAATAGGGAGCCATGGTGGGGGTGAGAGCAGCAAGGTGTCTTTGCCAAAGACCCCTCCTGGCCCCCAGGGGAGAAGGAGCTGGGGGGCAGGTTCCAGAGCAGAAGAGGGAGTTCTCCCTCCTTGGTTCCAGCTGGGCAGAAGAAGTGATGGGAGGGGACAGAACCAGTGCTCGCTGGCCCCACTGAAGAGGCAGGGGTTAAGAGCCACAGCCTCAAAGAAATCAAAGGATTGCAGGTTTGCTGGTGACCTGTCACACACAACGCACCCTGCCATCTCTGGGCTCAACTGTCACCGCCGTGCACTATATCAGGACTCCATTAGGGAGGCTTAGGCAGTGGCTCACAGCTATCACGAGAGCAGCAAGCCCCCACGCCCCTGCCACTGCACGTGAGGACAGCTCTGCCCGCCCAAGCTGCAGCCTCCTCCTGCCCCTTTGTCAGAGGCAGGAGCCGTGGGTGCAGCTAGCACGTGTGGGGTCGGGGGCTCAGCGGCCCAGGTGTGAAGCCCACCTCTGCCACTTCCTGCTTCCAGACCTCTGACGCAGTGCTCGATTCCCCCACCTGCACAGTGAGGGCAGCGATGACATCCTCCCCAGAGGGGCATGGAGAGATCTGGCCACGTGCTCAGCAAACTGAGCTGCTGTCATGATTTCTGCTCGTCCTGCGATCCTCCTTCCCACCCCGCAAAGTGTGTGTTATTTTTATTACTCCAAATTCCGCCCCTGCCAGTTTCGCTTTCGGCCTTGTCTTTGGAAGCTCAAAGTCAAGGTGAATCGTTCTTCAAAATAGCTCACTCTTCCTGGGTTCCTGGTATAATTACACCCCCTTCGTTTTTGCTTCTAATGCCTCGTCTGTTTTTTCTTGGTGAACTTTATTTTAACTGTCCTTTGTGTGTGTGTGTGTGTGTGTGTGTGTGTGTGTGTGTGTGTGTGTGATTTAAAAAAAAATCTTGCAAATGAAAATAACTTAATTGCATTTTCTGATTTCAGAGTAACACATGCTCATTATGAAACGCATCCAGACAGTACAGAAAGAAGAGAGGAAAGACAATGAGATCGTTTTTAAGCAGCCTCGAGTAATTTGCAGCAGAGCGGGAATGAGGAGGCCCCCCTTCATAAGACTGGGGTGCTCCCACTGCCCCAGCCCCACCGGGGTTCCCTTCCCTCCCCCACTCGCATGCTACCCACCCCTGGACGCCAGCTCAGGTTCTCACCCCCACAGAGGCGTCCTTGGCATCCTGTAGCCCAGAGCCCTCTTCCCTTCCACTGATCTGAATTCTCTTCATTTCAACAAACATTTATTGAGCATCTACTTTGGGCCAAGACAAAGGATCTGGCCATCTGAACTCATCCCCTGCTGTCTGCATTTAATTGATCTTTTGTTATTTTTCTGCCTTGTGTCTAGACTCCTTCTCCCAGCCTGGGCTATGGGGTCCTTAAGGGTAGACCCATGCCTTCTGTTTGTTCCTACCCCCAACCCCAGCAACTATTGTTCTCCAGAGGGACTTCCTGCAGGGAGGGAGCTGCTGTGGATTGCATGCGCGGGACACCGTGCCAAGGCCTTGGCGAGCATGATCTTGTCCAGTCCTCACATCGACCGTGGGAGGTGGGTGTTGTTATTACCCGACCTGCAGATGTGGAAGCTGAGTGCAGAAGAGCTTGCCCAAGGAACCATGGGGGACGAATTGAGAGCCAGGATTTGAACCCGTGTCGTCAAGGCCCGAGCTCCGAGCTCCTACGTGGGTTTTCTTCCTTGCACGACTCAGTGATGGTACACGGCAGGGGATAAATGCTCTCAGCAAGGTGTGCCCAGGACAGGAAGAATAGTGCCAGCACCCTGAGGACCTGAAGGAGATGCTGCTTGAGCACGTTGCGAAGGATGCACAGGAATGGTCCAATGGAAGCAGAAAGCGCCGGAGAGGAGGGAACCGCCAGTGAGTCGGGCCAAAGTTGTGAGTCAGTGAGGGCGGGAGAACCGGGGGCTCTCATGAGTGGCAGGTACAGGGGTAGGTGGGACAGGGCTGGGCAGTAAGGAGGTGGGGTGATCAGCTGGCTGCACCGTGGCGCGCCTTACACACGCTGTTCGCTGTTCAGGCATTTGGACTTTAGCTTTAAACCAGTGGTTCAAACTGAGGTCCCTGGAATTCCCGGGGTTCCCCAGAGGTGCCTTGGCAACCTGGGGGAAGGCGAACCAGAGGAAGGTGGCAGCACATGGGGCTGCGCCCAGCCCCCAGCCCTGGTCTCAGGGGAGCTGCACTTTCATTGGTTGTTTGTTTAGATTTTGGGGTAAGATTTCATTTGAAGGACTCCGCAGCAGACGTGTTTGAAACCGCTCCTGCAGGCTGGAGGAAGTTTTCAGCCAGAAGAGACATGATCAGAGTTTTACGATTTGATTGCTTCCTTCTTCAAAAACCTTCTCTGAGCCCCACCCTTTGCGCTCCTGGCTCGGGCTCCAGGGAGGGTGTGTTCAGTGGTTTCTGCCTCAGGGCCCAGGGCCGGGATCCCAGCTCTGCTTGTGACTTGCTGGGTGACATTGCACAGGTTTCCCCCTCTGGGTCTCGGGATTCTGGCCCTAGGCCTTGGACTCAACCCGGCCCGTGGCCACCGACCAGACATAATCTTGCCCTAGTCAGTTCTCTCAAGGGCAGACATTGGCCGTCCAGGGCAGGGCCTCCCAGCTCAGAGGAAGCAGCACGGAAGGACAGCAGCCACTGCCACGACCAGTAGCCGATACCTCTTCTCGTTGAATCTTCACAGCCACCCATTTTACAGGCGGAAGAACTCAGGCTCAGGAAGGTCACCTGGCAGACAACATCTAAACAGCGGAGGCAGGACTTGAACCCAGGGCCTGTGGCTCTGGAGCCCGTATTCGCCGCCCTCCTCGTGGGCTGGGGCAGGGGCAGACTGCCTCGGCAGCGTGACCGGCCTCCGCAGGAAGAGTCTGGTGAGCCTCAAGTTGGGGGCTCCACGGCAAGGCTCCTTTGCTGTCCCTCTTTCCCCATTTTGGGCCCTAGCTCTGAGGTGACCCGAAGGATGTCTGCAGGGGCCCCTGCCTCCCTGCCCTCGACTGTGAGCAGTGACTCCCAATCTTGGGGTGTGATGCCTGTGCTGGGGACGTGAGGATGTCCCTCCTGGCCTCCTGCTCTGTCCCTGGGGGTCCACCTTGGTTCACGCTGGCAGCTCTAATGGGAGTCCCATTCCACCCCCTAGAGTCACACCAGCACCGTGGGTTTTGTGGCATTTCCTGAAGACAATTGGGCTGGGGAGTCCCAGGGCAGTCACTGAGCCCCTCACCATCCCGCAAGGACCTCCACCATCTCCCTCTGCTCTGCCTGGCTTCTCCTGCCTGCCTTCCCTGGACAGACCCCCCCTAGCATCTGACATTTTGGGCACCTTCATCCCCAGTCTCCGCCCTTCAGCCCTGGAAACAGCCCAGGCCTCAGCCACCGCTGAGCCTCTCCTCAGCCCAGCACAGGACAGGGCTGCCGAGTGGTTAGACACAGGCTCTGGTGGGTCTGACCCTGCCACACGCCTAGCACGGCAGCTGAGTTATGTTGCAACCCTGGTGTTGGAAGAAACCCACGTGGGTCACCACGGGAGCGAGCAGCGGCTCCGCCTCACGCAGCTCTGCGTCCTTCCTGGAAGCGTGTGGCTGTGGTGCTTTCATGGAATATTCTCTGTGCGTGGGGAGTTCATGGATCTTTCCTGGGTTGTTCACATCTATTTTTTTGTTGTTTGTTTGTGACAGAATCTCGCTCTGTTGCACGGGCTAGAGTGCGGTGGCGTCAGCCTAGCTCACAGCAACCTCAAACTCCTGGCTTAAGCGATCCTCCTGCCTCAGCCTCCCGAGTAGCTGGGACTACAGGCTTATTTTTCTATTTTTTGTAGAGACGGGGTCTCGCTCTTGCTCAGGCTGGTCTCGAATTCCTGAGCTCAAATGATCCGCCTGTCTCGGCCTCCCAGAGTGCTAGGATTACAGGCGTGAGCCTCCCCGCCCGGCCCACATCTATTTTTTATAGAGGAAAAAATTCTTCAAACACCTTTTCTAATGGAATGCTCATTTTGAGACGTGTCTCCGGCCATGGCAAGTTTATATACAGTCGAAACTTCTGTTAAGAGCGGCCCACTTTCAGTTAGCATGAGGAACCCGCCATGTTCCTGCGGCTACGGCTCACTTTTGCAGATTGGCTGAGACGAGCGGACAATGAGAGCAGCTGCTACAACTTTTCTTTTATTTGCTCATTTAGCAAATAAGTGGCGAGCTCCTGTCCTGCGCTTGGAGTACGAACGTGAAAAAGGCAGAAGAGGGCCCCAGCCTCAGGGAACTCGGAACTCAGGCCAGAGGGGAAACAAGTAACTAGTCGATCTGGGGTTTGGCTGGTGTGACAGCCCAGGCCTGGCAAGCCCGGTGCAGCAGCGTGATGGTGGGGTCGCTTCACAGCCTCAGGAAGAGCGTCTCTGCAGAGGTCAGGGCTGGCCACGGCTTGGAGGAACCCTAGCCACACAGAGAGGGGGGAAGGGAATTCCGGGCAGAAGGATCAGCACGTGCAAAGGCTAGGAGGTAAGAGTCCCGTCTGGGAACAGAAGGTTCAGTGTGGCAGGAGGGAGGCACCCAGCTGGGGTGAAGGGGCCCCCAGGTGGGACAGGAGAGAGACAAGGCAGAAGATGAGGGTGGGGGTGGAGCCTCGCAGGACCCTTGGGTGGGGAGTTCGGGGGTTAGGAGGCCACCCAGGAGGGTTATGCAAAGGAGAGACCCAATCTGAAGCGCAAGTAGAAAAATCTCCAGAGAAGCCTTAGAGATTGGCGGTTAGAGGTTCAGGATCTGGCATCCCAGGGGCCTGAGTCAGAGTCCTGGTTCTGCCAGGAGCTAAGTGGCCTTGGACAAAGTGCTCAAGCTCTCTGAGCCTCAGTTTCTCCAGCTGTAAGATGGGGACAACCACAGGCTCTACTGAGGAGAGACATGGGAGGAGTCAGTGACGCGGTGGCGCCGTTGGCCCAGCCTGCAGGAGGTGGCCGCTGCTCTGTCTCATTCGTTCGCTGCTGCTCTCCACATTTGGGAGGTGAGAGAAACTCAGCGGACACGTGTCCAGTGAACGGAGAAGTGGTTGCTGAGTGGAGGGTGGCTTGGAGGGGCGAACAGGGAGCCCTCTTGACCACGGGAGGCAAGCTGATGAAACAGCTCATTCGAGAACCACGCAGGCACGAGGCACTGAGCCTGGGATTTGCGCCCTGGCGCCTGGTGTCCCACGAGTGCTGAGCTCCATGTCGGTTTCCTCACTCTGTTGGCAGCTGCAAGTGACTAAGGCACCTGTAGGTGCGGGCGCAGGAGGGGCTGGTGGACATGGAAGTTAGTGGTCCCCAGAAAGGGCCTAGTCCTACAGGGTTTCCAGTCTGTCGCCAGCTATTTATCGAGCACCTACAGTGCCCTGCAGCTACAACAGTGGGGCAGGGTGGGAGCTGGCAGGCTCGTGGAGAGGACAGCCATCAAACTGAGAATGACGGGTGGGTGGAGGCCCGGGGACGAGGACAGGCCAGCTGACGGCCGCTGGTGCCCACAATAGTTAAAACACTGGGTTATTCCCGAGTCCATTTCCCTCACCTGGGCCCTGCTGTATGTGGCACGTGCGTCAGCCCCAGGCCCCTGCCAGCACCCATGCTGACTGGCTGTGCCTGTCCCCGCCCAGGTGCCATGAGAGCCTGGCCTTGGGGAGGTGATGGTCAGTGATGCCCGAGGCTGAGTGAGAGCCCAGCCGTGGAGAGAGGGAGGGAGAGCAGGTGGGGGAAGGGTCCGCCCCTGCGAGGGCGGGAGGCAGGCAGGAGCTGTGCACGGGGACAGAACTGACGGTGAAGCTAGGGCAGGGCCAGACCCGCAGGACCTTGTGTGGCAGGGGTAGAGATTTGGCTTTGATCCCGGGCCAATGAGAGGTTGTATCCCAAGGTCAATGATTCATAAGGGATTCTAGGAAAAGGAGGGTCTTGGCCTGGTGGGAGGGGCAGGGGGGGCCGGTAATGGAGGGAGCTGGGCATCCTCCTGGCAGGGGTGGGGGAGGTGGCACAGACGGAGGCAGGGCAGGGGATGGAGAGAGGCCAGTAAGAGGAGCCCCGACTGATGGGGCCTCCCCAGGTGTCCCCGCCACCAGTAGCCCAGGGCCTGAAGCGCCCAGAGCCCCAAAAGAGACCTTTCTGGAGTCTGCAGCAGGCTGCAGAGCTGGGCCCCTCGCCTGGCAGAGCGGCAGGAATGAGAGCCCCAGCCTCCAGCCCCGGCTCCCCGGAGCGCCAATTCCGAAAATGACAAGCAGAGAGCCAATACGAAGGTTGGAAAATGGGCACCTCTGCGCCTCCCTGCGTCTATTGCAGGGTTTGGAAATAGCTGCGATGAGAGGAGAGCCGCTGGGAGGGTGCCCGCCGGGCAGGGAGAGGCCCGAAGAAGCTGCCGCGGCCAGTGCAGGAAGCAAGAGGAGTGACAGGAGGGCCGCGGAGGGAGAGGAGACCCCGGGGGAGGAGGGGACAGGGCAGGGAAGCAAAGGAACAGCAAGGACGTGTGCAGAAGACAGAAAGGACAAATGTTAAAATGGACACACACAGAAAGACCAGCTGTGGCGTGTGGCCGGCGATTGCGGGGCTTGTGCACGTGTGTGATTCGGCCTGGACGGAGCAATTCAGAAGCCTCCGGCCCCTCAGCTCATCTAAACATCCCCCTTCTCTCCTCACCCCCCGGCCACTAAAAAAAAAAGAGAGCGAGAGAGTGAGAGAGAGAAAGAAGGAAAACAAAATATCTACAGTTGTCGAGACAAGAGGAGAAAAATAGAGGCAAACATCCGTAATTTTCTCTGTGGGGCTTTGCAGTAATTGAGCCATTTGGATAAAAATAAAGGCAGCAGGCCCCTTAGGTAAGAAGAGCTTTTGCAATCTAAGAAGCTTGAATTATGCGTCTTGTGTCACTTGAAATCCCCCGTTCTCCCCCTCCGCAGCGACCCAAACCACTTTCCCTTTCCTTATTATTTTTTTAAGTACCCTGTCAAATGTCGTCTGTGGAGCAGAGAATTTCAGCTGTCACAACTAATTTCAATTTTTCCATGTGCTTTCCCCGCTTGGGGGGGACCCGGCTGAGCCCCCTTTCCCTCCCTCTTGCATCCGCTCACTCTTTATTTCTCATTATTGTTATTATTTCAAAACCAGATTTACATCACCAATTTTGTTTGGGGGAGTGTTTAAGGACTGTGCTGTGCTCTTGGGGAAGGCGGGGACTTGCCCCGTTGGCTCTGGCTCTGTCCCCACTCACTTGCACCCCCCAGCCCTGGGCGGCTCCTCCTGGTCCTGGGCTGCAGCCCCCCTGGCCGCCCCCGGGGAAGATCCAGACCTCAGACACCATGCTGAGTCGGGAGGCTCTGTCTGGACCTGGCAGCCGGGTCTGTCTCCCTGGTGAGAAGAGGTTCCCGGTGGAGGGAGCGGCCAGAGACAGCAAGTGTCATGATCTGCCCCACCCCCCACTGTCCCCATCTTCTCTGCCTTTTGCTGCATCCTTCCTCCCCTCTCAGTTCGAGCATTCGTTCAACAGGCCTCGACCCAGAGCCACCTCCTGTGTGCCAGCCCTGGCAAGGTGCTGGGCACACGGGATGAGTAAGGCACAATCCTCACCCTTGAGGAGATGACAATCTAGTGGGGTCTGGGAGACAAAAAGCCAGGTGG